CCGCCCTGAATTGTAGTGAAATAGAATTACAAAGTGGCAGAAAATGGGAATACTCAAGTTAAACTAAGTACCTGAACGTAATTATTGTCCAGCACGGTTTGTAATTGGCCATAATCAGATTGAATATACCTTAATGAAGATGTCAGCATGTACATGGGGGGGGGGGGGGGAATATAAAACGCTCTCATGCCACATCATATTACACTAGAAGCATTATTTAGCCCGGGGCTTTGAGGAATCTGAGCATCACGTGAGACTGACCGTTAACGCCAGTTGACAGACGATGCAATACTGTAACGCAATTGCATGTTCGCACAATGCAGCCCATTGCATCAGAAAAAAGTCGAGGTAAAATGTGAAAATGTATACAATATACTAATGAAGAGAGGATGGATTAAAGGAGGGATTTGCTCTGAGTTTTCGGTGTCCTTTTTCAAATGAAAGGAACACTACAACATGCCCGCCTGGGTTCAGCGGTGACAGCACACGAAATGGCTTGCAGCAAGCCGTGAAAATGCGCGTGTTGTTCCAAGCGTGGGACCATCAAAGCCCCATAGAGAGTGGGAAGGCAGCGGGACGTGTCTGTGGACATGTCTGCGCAGCCCCCATTCAAAGCTTTGGCCTATAATCATCCCAGGAAACGGGTAATTACAACGGGAAATCTCGTGGACTGAGCCCAAAAGCCGGCTTCAGTGCGCGCGCAAAGGGACAGAGGGATCACATGCCGGAATCCCCAGCCCCCTGACTCAGTGGCGTAAACGGAGAGCCTCATTTGCGCAGCTATTCCTAAAAAGTCGGTTTTATTGTCCCTCTGCAATACACGGGTGCTTTCCCGTGTCAAATTGGAACCGTTGGTTCGCCCTCCACGCGCAGCGTGGGCGTGCGTAATGTGCGCGCATTACTAGTTTACTTCCAAGTTGTGTAAGAAGTACGGGGAGGACAATTAATAAAGAAAGCGTTATGAATAGGCAGCGTTGTTCCTCGCGAGAGGAGCTCGTTCGTGTCAGAGCAGAAAACACGGAACTGTTTCACATTTGAAATAGATTAAAATCAGCAACTGAGTGACGTCATGTTGGAATCTTTTCATTTCAACTAAAACAAACAATGAGAAAGAAACGCACCGCCTCTGTGGTTAGGCTACTAGAGAGAGTGGCAGCGTGGGGTAAAGTAGTTAAGTGTAGCACCAGCGTGAGAAGAAAAGGGAGGGTGGTCCTTGATTGCAACATCAAACACTGGTGTCGTCACTCACCAGTGATACGTGCAAGCACTGCCTGTTCCAAAATAAATATTGACGTGATTGTTGTATTCAAATGAGCTGCCTGACCGGACATTGGCTGGCCAATCAGAGCCCGTCGTAGCATCACACCTTCTTTCCAGAAATCATTCATAACGCCGATGCGTCAAACACTCACAGAGGACCCGGCTATAAATACGGCTGCGCGCAACGCACAGTTAGACATTTTCCCAAAAATCAAACGAAAGGCAGAACTGAGCAAGAACCGTGTGGGAATCCGGCTTCTACCTTTGATTATCCTCTCTGCCTTGCTCTACATTTTATATTCTATATTTAGTTTCCAGCTCACTATGTTGCCCATGGGTGGATTATCTTTGAGGCACGTCGCGGTGGCAGCGCTGTGCTCCGTGCTGTCCACAGGGACGCTGGGGTCCCCGGTGGTGGGGCCAGAGCCGATCCGATGCGCCCCGTGTTCTCCGGAGAAGCTGAGCCAGTGTCCAGAAGTGGCGCCCGAATGCGCCGAGGTGTTGCGGGAACCCGGCTGTGGATGCTGCCTCGCCTGCGCCCTGAAGGCTGAGGAGCTGTGCGGGATCTACACGTCGCCGTGCGGCTCCGGACTGAGGTGCACCCCGAGACCCGGCGACACCCGGCCGCTGCACTCCCTCACCCGGGGGCAGGCCGTGTGCACGGAGAGCACTGAGCCAGAGCCGACCCCCGAGCCCCAGACACAAGGTAGGCCTATAAAGCTCCACATTTATACATCCAGCAAATCCTCATTCTTGCAACCCCCCCCCCCCCCCCCCCCCCCCCCCCCCCCCCACAAAAAAACCCCCGGAAGAACACACCCCATCCT